CCGAATGTTATCTCGATCGCCTCCTCAATCCCCCAGTTCCATGAGGCACTCGGACGATGATATCTAACTCTGTATCCTTGTCGGCCTTCGACGTACGCGTATGGCGAATTACGTAGTGACGGCTTCCAATCAGTCATATCAAACTAACCAATGGATAGGTAACGGCTGTAGATCCGAAGCTTCATAAAACGTTTGGGTTGTTTTCTCGGAAGCTGAGTGACGTCGTGTCGACTAAGGGATATATAGCTATAAAGGGGCCAAGCGAGAAGTCACCCTCCACTCTTACCCCAATGTAGGTCGAATCGTGAAAAAGAATCATTGTGACAGGGTCTTGTAAAGTCACATCATGTCTGAGCGGGTTGTACAACGCGATGTATCTGAGATCCACAGAGTGCCACGATTTCAACCACAGAGGCCATCCAGAAGCCGATCGCAAGGTCTTGACACTTCATTGACTTTTGTGTTGGCCCCTGATGTTGAAGTTGATTCACAGGATCATAGCAGCCTGTGAACCGTGTCGATGTAACAAACCTGGCCAGACGAAACCTCCCGGCTTGCTTGAGCCTCTGGCTATCCCTAACGAGAGGTGGATATCGATATTTATGGACTTGAGCACGGACTTACCAAAGCCTAAACATAAGGTAGACTCCATTTGTTTTGTGGTCGACAGACTCAGAAAGCGTTGTCATTTCGTCCCAACTACAAATACAATGGCTGCGGAAGGTGTAGCTCGCCTCTTCGTCGATCACGTCAGGAAGATTCATGGTATGCCAATCAGAATCGAGTCGGATCGGGACAGAAAGTTCGTGGCAATATTTGGGCAACATGTCTTCAAGTTGAACGAGACAAGCTCAGCACGACTGTTGCCCATCGAGCTCAAGGAGGGGAACAAACGGAGCGCATGAATTGAACCCAAGAAGAGTACCTTTACTGCTTCGTTGGACCTCTTCCAGAATAATTGGGATATCCACCTGACCAACAACGAGTTTGCTGTCAACTCAACCGTCAACTCTAGCACGAAACTTGCGCAGCTAAAAGCGGACCTCGGATATATCCCGCGCAACCCTCTTCTACTAGCTGCGAAGAAACTTGTGAAAGCTCCCAAGAATCGCTGTAGCTCGAATTCTCAAAGCGTCAAGCTGCGATTTTAGTGCGATATCGAGAGGTCTGTCGAAAGCGCAGGAGTGAAGGCGCGATAACTACGATCAGAATCGGAAGGAGCAGGTATTTGTTATAATGGCCTTCAGTTTAGAAGTGAGCTGTCCGGAGAGGACAATTAACGAGACCGCTACAAGGCCTCGTACATGTCGACCTCGCAGCCACTCATGACATCCCTCGGCAGTTTATACGTAATCTTTGTATGCACTGGCTTCACTTACTTAACAAGTGTCAGTTAAGTCGTATTCTGACCAATGATACTTCATCTCATGTATTTAGCCAATCACATGGTATGACATATTTGTAATTGGACACCGTGTATATCTGCGTATGAAGCACCAGGATCTAAAGCACACCGGACCCCCAAAAACCGACCCAGTCAGGTCCCAAATGGACGGTCCGCACAGAAGATTCAAATACTCATTTGAGATCAACATTAAGGCTAGTAATCGACCCATCCTGTCTTCAACATTGGTTCCCTCAAGCTATACAAAGAATCCGCACGTCTATCGCGTTCGAACGGGTTTATTCTCGCGGATGGCACCGTAAACCAGCTGGTTTGGTGGCTGCTGGGCACACGCACGCGCAAACGGCCGAGCAAATTCATTGTATAGTGGGTGGGTGAGGGAAAGTCAGCATGGTAACAATCGATAATATTGGGCGAGTACTGGACTTGTTCTCAAGTTTTGAAGAGCACTGTCGGACCAAGCGACGGCGAAGAAGTCGAAATAAAAAAAGTGAGCTCAAGACTAAAACGATCTCGTTAATTGCGGCGGAGTTGGTCTTTTGCCTGCTTTCTTCTTTTCCGGCTTCCGT